AGGACTGGAGAAGTGCAACTTTGGACGGGCACCCAAGTGCCCTCCTGCATCGTGTCATTTGCTGTAGCCACTGCTGCAAACTAGAGCCCAGCAGTTCCGATGAGGGTGGCCTTGTCCCTCGAACTCAGGACAAGTTATGTAAGGCCACCTCTGCCTGGCCAGCACTCCTGATTTACAAAGGACGGGAGCAGGGAGCTGTGCCGGGCTGCTCTGTTTCCATCTGCTGGAACAAGAAGCGGGTTTGTAATGAACTGGAACCACTAATGAAGTGTGACCAGTTCCAGGCTGCTTTTCCTTACGACCCTGCGAGCGCTTTGAGAGCTCCAAGTGCAAAACAAACTTCCTGCCATTTATGTACTAAGCTTGGAAACTCAAGAGTAAGTTTTCTGTCAGAAGTAAAAATCGTGCAGACTTAATCCGTCTTGTCCTGTACTGCTACTTCCATATGTCGTATTTTTAATAATGTTATCACTTCATAGTTTCCAAGCTTCTAAATCCAGCAGGTCAGGTGCTGGGCTGGGGAAGGCAGAAACAGCCGCCCCTTCAGAAAATCACTGTTAGCATTAGGCTAACAGCTGGAGGTTATCAGAAGTCTAATAAGCAGATCATCATCCCTTTACTTCACACTCTGAAATACTTAGAGGATTAAGAGCTAACAACTTTTTTTTCTTGGCAAGACACTTAGTTCTCTGCAGCAGATGTTCTTTTGTTCACATCATGCTTAGTTTGTTTTATATACAGGTAGTAAGTATGCTGCATGCACAAATTAGCCTCGCATTAACGGATTTTCTGAAGAGTTGTATAAACACATACCCAACTAAAAAAGGATATTGGTTCTGTGCCCCCTTCTGTTCTTTCCCTCTGCTGTATCTTTGGGATACACACATTGTGCTGCATGATAATGCTAAATCCTGGAAAATTCTCTTGGCTAAGGTTCCCAAAAATCATTGGAATATTAGTAAAGGAAAGCTCTCTTGTATGACTTTTTTCAAAAACACTGCAGACAAGCTTGGCTTTTACCAGTAAAAAAAAGGACTTGCCTGTATTTGTTTTATTAAGATTTTATGTAGATAAGCACTAAACCAAGGATGCTTATAAACTGAAACTGGTTTTTGTAAAAACAAGCTGCACAATGTTTGAGAGGGACTAGCTAACGTGGGATTTCATGATCAGATCAACACTGGCAATAAAAATTAAATGTAAATTAACCCTTAGTAGATGCAGAGGCCCCAGAGACAGAGAAGCCAAGAGATTTGGAAATTCAGGAACAGGAAGGACTTCTTGAATACATGTGAATTTTTGCCAAATCCATGCAGAAGACTCTGAATGTATTTCTATGAACTAGCGATGAATGTTATTTAGCCTTAAGATAAGAGAGCTGACATACAGAGCTGATCAGCGAGTGGCACCTGTGCTCTGCAGGACCACGAACGGAATCACAAATCAACGCTACCTGTGAACGTGCTGTTCACTTCAGCGTGATCACATTTTTCAAGCGTTACTCTGAGCTTTGTGATCAGACCCTGCAAACATTTAGGCACGCATTTAAAATTAATCCTTTTGATAGTGGCCCCTGTCCATGAGCGACTTGCGTGCCTGTGTTCATCTCTGGAGCTGAGCCTGCTTGGTAAAGATTCATCGTGCTTAATGGCTTCTCTACCTTTTGACAAGCAGCACCCATCCTGTGCTGTCGTTGGCAGGGATCCATAGGGGTAAGACAACCCGTATCACTGATTCTTGTGAAGCAAACATGAACCATAGCAGCAGCCATGCCCTTGCCACCTGTACAAGCAGACTTTCTGGGTTTCATTGACTGTCCACGTAACATGACTGAAAAGGACAAGTAACTCCTGGATAGATGTGACAGTTCGGCACAGTCAGCCTGAGGACTTCATGGCAGAGCTTCTGCCGCTGGCCCTGTTTTTTTAAAAAAATGGGTAACTAGACCAACTTCCTGAAGTGCCGAGCAAATGCAGTATGCCCCAGGTCCCACTCCAGCCAACTGATTTCCGTCAACTCCTCTGTCTCTTTAAAGCTCTGCAGGGTAAAGAGTGATTTGTGTGATGAAACTTTCTGCTCTGAGTTACACACTGATCTCCTGTGGCCATCAGGATGGAATTTCAGTATCAGGCAGATGAACTAATATTCCTCCTCTAACTTTTGCCTCAAATACCCCCCATTGGTTGCTGCGAGCAGTATGATCATGGACCAGACGGATCTGTGGTGTAATCCATGTGCAACTCCTGCATCTCTTGTAGCAAGCCAAAAATGAGGTAAATCCTGATTTCTGTATGACCAATGAAAGATCCAGTAATCGAAAATAAATAGTAACCACAGAGGAAAGACAAGGAAAGGTTTATCTGGATTTTGAGCCAATCAAGCCTAATTCACACGAAATAAAATGACAAACCTGGATATCCAAGACATGGTAGGGTGAATGTTATACACAGATATCTAAGTAATGTATTCAATTCCTTCTCACAAATGCTGATATGCAAAAACTTCAGCTGACTTGAACCGAACGGTCATGTGAGCAGAAAAATTACAAGAAGCAGTGTTAAACAGCTGGGAACAGGTGCCAAGGGGGATATGCAGGGGAAGGTAAGCAGAGCCAGACTTTATTATTAATGACTTGGAATAGGGAGTATTAAGAGTGTGTTAATGAAATCTGCAGATGGTAACAATGGGAACTGCTGCAACACCAATGAAGACAGAGAAATGGCACGAGGCATCTCAGACATTAAAATGCAAGTCAAAAAGAAAAAAGACCTGTTGTGTACAGAGCAGAAATCAACTGCGTTGTAACTCTTCCAGGGCAGAGGAGAAGTTGGAGAGCGGGATAGCTGTGAGACATGCTGACACAGGGCAGGCACCTTGACGCAAGCTTCAAATAGTCAAATGCAGCCTCTGAGGGGGTGTCCTGTCAGGGTGTACATGAGGGGTCTGCCCACAGCGAGCTCATTTCTAGGCATTCACTACTGGAACAACTCTGGCGATCGAGGAGGCAGCTCAGGAGACAAAAACGAATGACAAAAGTGGAGCAATATGTGAGGAAAGATGAAAAAGAATTAAATGTAAGTAGGCTTGTCAAGAAAGTACTGTATTCCAGGAGAGAGTTCTATGTAATTTTTCAGACTAACACGCCAGCCACGGAGAAGAAATTTTTAGGACTGTCTAAGTGAAACCGGTTAACTGTTGACAAGATGCAAATGTGCCATGACTTGCAATCTTTAATGGAGACAGTAGCTCTAACAGGATTTGGGAACTTGCTTCCAGGATAACCAGGTGAACACCACAGATCAGACCAGATACTCATAATGTTTTTTTCTGTCTGGCTTTAAAAATCTATGAAATAGCAGGTTGTAATAGCAAATGCACCTTACTATCCATAATGAGCTATTTTATATTTTACACTTGCATCACACGAATGCCCACAAATGATACAGTAAAAATGCAATCAAGAAGAAAAGCTGTAAATGAGATCTGTTAATTAGACAGTGTACTCAGGCCAATTCACCCTAGAGAACCAAAGTATAATTTCAGCTTTTGCTTTTTTTTCCACTATTTTTTCCACTCTCTTTAAAAATTTTTAGTTTGGAGATGTCATCTAGTTACTTGTATGTGAATGGTTGGTGGTCTGTCTCAAAATGTTTTGATGGAAAGTACAGTGGATTTACTGTTTCTTAGTAACATTCTGTAAGCCAGGCCCCAACTAGCAGCTGGCTCTCTCTTAAGAAGTGAGCCTATACAAAGCTCCAGTTGAAAATATATATCTGCCCAATGAGATGTGAGCATGGAAGGCACCTCTTCAGATCATAAGAACAATTTTCTGACAGTATTTGGCAAAACCAACATTAAAAAAACCCCTGAGCTTAATGGGAGGTGTTCCATCCATCATACCTCCTTTTTTGCACGCTTAGGTAGCTTAGAAGTTCCTTAGCTTGCTTATAGAAAACATATTACTAAAAATACTATTTCTAAAAATACCTTGTTTATGAAAGGCTTATTAGGCAAATAAGCCATTTCTCTCTCAGTAGGATCACTTCTTAGGCCAAAAGTGGGCAAAAACCATGTCACAAGATAAATATTTACTGGAGATCACTAATGAGATATTTTAAGTTTGCTGATACACAGCAACTGCATCAAGGTATATACAAAGGATAATGCACAGAAAGTAGCAAGAAAGTAAATTGCTTTTAAGGCTGCGCATGTTTTGGCTTCGTGTTGTCTGCAGGGTCTTTACAGAAAGCTGAAAACAGAGAACCCAATCGGTCAGTCTTATTCGGACAAAGCTATTACACTTGATAGTGAGAATGTGATCACACGCTGGATTTAGCGCTCTCAGTCAGTGGTTTCCAGGCTTTTTCAGAGCTCCCTACAGAAGTAATGACCGTTATTTTGTGCATTAACCAGCCTAAAACTAGATTTACTTCAGCATTTTTACGCCCTCCCTAAAAATAATCCATCAGCTCCTGTTCCACCTCAGGGGAGAGGTGTTTGCAAGGAGTAAGTCAAAAACACAGATACAGAAAATAGCTGCACTTATTCACGACCATCCCTGGACGTGTTTAAAAACCGGCTGGATGTGGCGCTTCAGGAGATGGTTTAGTGTTAAGGTGGTGTAGGGCTGTAGGTCAGCCTTGATGATCTTGAAGGTCCTTTCCAACCTTGGGGTTTCTGTGATTCTATGATTCCTTCCCTACCCCCTGCAGCCAGCGGGCCGGCCAGCCCCGGGCAGTGTCTGTAGGCAAGGGCAGGGCTCTGCCAGTCTGCGAGACCAGCGCACGCACCGTGCTCTGACACACCGTGAAACCAGCAGAGCGCCCGCAACCACGTCTCAGGGAACGAACGCAACTGAGCCCCTCCGGGGCTGCAACAAAGTCGGGGGGAGCGTTCTTGGTGACGGTCCCTCGCCGAGGGTGCTGAGGGAGGGTAACACGGGTCGCTTGGCCGAAGGGACTCTCGGAGGGGCGGTCTCCGCTGCCGGGTGGGTGTGAGCTCCCCCTCGCACACCTTCCTCCACCTCCTTCATCTTCCATGTCTCTTTCT